TAACGAATAAAATGAATCAATTATTAATTATTATTATTATTATATGTACTTTCTAAGTTTCAATACTAATGATCTGATATTATTGAAATGCGTTAGTGACAAAAATTGACCTTAGAAATAAGTATATAATCAATGTTGTCACATGATCCTAATATCATTTAGTAAGGGTAACAATGAAACCGCTATGATATGTATTAGGTCATATGAAACAATATTTTTTTTATATTTGATATCATAAAATAAATTTTTTAAAAAACTATCAACTAATTTAGTTAAAACTCTCAGCTGGAAAAAAGAAAATGAAACTAATTTATGAACCTTTTAAACTAACTGCTTAAAGTTCATTCAACCTTATTCAATGTCAATACACTAATTACAAAGTAATAATCAGTTTACAATTTGACTATGTACTTGGTCAGTTATCATTTATGTTTATTTAAACTAATCTGTATACACTACTATTACTAAAGAAAACATTTTAAACTTTACAAACTAATACTGTAGATACCAATTATATTATTTAGTAAATTAAAAGATAAAAAACATCTTCCCTTACTATTTATTATTAATAAAAGTTAGCAAATATTGTTTATATGAATACAATCTACTAAGAAATAGCAAATCATTTTAAGAATACTTTTCACTAAGAATTAGTGTCATTTGGAGAACTATTGAAAACAACGTATTATCGAATTGATGTTTCGACTTTTTTTGTAATCTGATAGCAGTGTGCATACATGACTGCATGAAGTATTGAATTTCTGACTGTAAGTAAGAATCTCTCTATACTATATGTTAATTGCAATTGAAAGCTTAACCCACTGAACTCTGACTCTATGATAGAGAAATTTCCTAGCTACTTTCATGCTTAAGAGTCCTTATACAGTTTTCTGTGGGTTTTGAGGAGGCCTCAGAACTTAAGGTAAGTTTAAAACCTTCAAAGGTCAGTTAATGAGTGTTTAGCTGCTTTCAGTGTCTCTTCTGTTGATGTCACTTGGAGGCACAAATTACCTTCAAATTGCACAAATGCTTCATATAACCACCGATTTATAATTTCTTAAACTATTATAAGCAAATGGGTACTATTACCATGGTATGACTTGCTAATTTATAAAAGCTGGGCAGTGGGCAGGTTTTTTAATAATATAATTAATGATATATTTATTAAATGCCTAGGAGCAGAAAATTAATTTTCTGACGTTTTGTAACTTGGTGTAGTCGGCTTTTGCAGAGTAAACAAATTATTGAACTAAATTAACTGGACTTCAAACAGTACAAAGTAACAAAGTAAAATATTTTGTACAATAAAATGTAGGTCTGGCCAAGTCAATATCATGTCTCTCTAGTCAAGGTTACTGTTGTGCGGAGTGCTTGTGCATTTGTCTTTATTCTAGTGGTTGTGAAAAACGTTGTTTTGTAATATGTGAAAGTAAAATCGAGTTATCTAGTGTTACTGGTGTAAGATGTAAACATAATTACGTATGGTCGCTTAAATAAATGGTCCACGTTTAATGGATTGTAATCCCTTCTTTCTATGAAGGGTTGTAGAATTTTGGAATATATATATACTTTAGTTACTCGTCGTTTTTACTGTTGAAAAAGCCTTTTTAGATATTATTGATGTATTTAATATCGATTTGATGGTCACTGAAAATGGCATGACTCTTCCATATAAAACGCACCGCAATTGACACGATCTAATCTGTGTGCACAATTCTGTTGACGTGAATAGAATCTTATTCTATATTCGAACTAAAGTATTTTGAGGGTATCAGTTGTCCTGTAGTATGCTTCAATATTGTGTATTCCTAAATTATTTGTAGTATCATCGTAGTAAAATAATACTAAGTTACCAATTCAATTTATCTCATTAGAACTATTATCTAGTGATAAGTCGTTTCACTTTGGTGCTTTTTGAACCGTAAAATGTTGATTATGTGTTTCTGTTCTTTTCATGTTTTCATTATATGCTTCACATATCACTGCCTTCAAACTCATAATAGTTTTGTTAGACGTTTCTAAGATTTCCACTACGGGATCGCTAAGTTGTCTATGAAAAACGATTGATTATTGATGAATATTGTTTCCTCGTTTTTGATTATTCTCGACCAACACAAATTAAATAGTCGTTCAACCATATAACACAATCGTAAATCAATATGGATTTTTGAGGCCACTCAATTGGATGCTATATTTAATAGTAATATAGACAGTAACACCACTTTCCAAATAGATGCTTTGATCAAAATAAGTGATATACATTAACCGATTGCTGATTTCTAATTAATCTTTAAATTCTAATTATTGATTGAACCCTACAGCTAGTAAACAGATTTCTATTAAAACATGATAATACAAGTTTTTTAGCAAGTATCCTTTTGAATGAAACTTCAATTTACAAACATAAAGTTTTATTTTGTCTGTGTTTATTGCAAACAGTTTTTTCCAATTTCATTTTCTCATCTTCAATAAACTTAAGTTGGCACCAGAACAATAATGATATTAACCAACAAAAAAAGATCAAAGTTTTATCTTACAGTTAATTTAGAAGACAGAAATTCGTTAAGGGTTCTTACAACTGAAAATTCAACAATTTCAAATAAAGAATAAAATTAATTCAATATAATGGTATTAATAATGACTTAAGGAATATGAATATATACATCAATAAAAGAACAGAACGAGATTGGATAATAAAGTGTTCAAAGATTTCAAGTAACGAAAGAAGGTCGCCTAGTAATCTAGCGTTTAAACTAAACTACAAAAGTAGATTCGCATCAATTCAGCCAAGAATGAAAAAGTATTGTGATGTATGCTATTTATGTCATCAGACATAAAACTAATCAGAAGTGGAATGCCTGACATCAGAAGGTTGAAAATATTTATTTAATTGAAGAGAACAGGAATGTAAACAGAGAGTTATTGTAATAACAATAGGAATGGAAGAATGATGAAGTTTGTAAAAGATAATTGATGGAAGATGTGCAAATGAAGTATTTATTATATGTTTTCCACATTTTACCCAAACATTCTATAATTTTGTACTCAACAATAGATTGGTTTCTCCCACGTGAGTGTTTCTTCACTACAGTATTATTCACACATCCATGAACGGAAGGCCGCTTGAAAAATATAATACGAAGCTTGTTTGAGTAGGACATTTTTAACATAGGCATTGAAGCTACTTTTATGAATCTACATTAATAACTCCTTCACATCCAATATACTTGTAAGGGTCTTCTTTTGAACTATTGGCGTAGTTCAGGCCTGAACTTTGCGCTCAAAAGTAACACATGCAATATTTTCATCTTTGGATAACCCTAACACCAATTCAAGTATATTTGTTGATTATTATCAATATCTTTTATATACAGTGATTAGTTATTGTTATCTCCTAATAGTTTTTCACTATTATTATTGAGTTGTTATTATCACATTTACGTCTTCTGTTTATTCATTTATATCAATCAAATCGATATTTGTCTCTCATATTTGATCTACCCATTCTTCTTTCACCTTTAGATCATTACACAATCGTCTTTTTTGTACTTAAAGTCTCGAAACACTTTATGATGTTTTTCCCTGATTATTTATCATAAATCTTTTAAAATATTAGAGTCCGCAGCTTTAACATGGTTTTACGTGGTAATTTATCAATAAGACGTTTTAGTTTGTTTCATTGTTAAATTGTTTATTATATATAAGTATATAACAATCGTTTGGCTATTATTTTTTTTAATAATTCATAGATTACAGCCAGAAATCTCAATATGGACAAATACAGTTTGAGATTGTAATGTTATTTCCTCTTCCCTTCACAAATTGTGTATTGCTATATTTTATTTCTAAAAACTCAACCGAATAATTTATAAACAAAAAACACCTACTTTACCCTTGATTCAAAGGATAAAATTTACAGTTTCGGTAAAGGTGTTAGGTTAAAATGAATTGAATCTATTTCTTTTGTAGATTGTCAAAAGTATGTTTGAATCATGCACTATCCATCGTGTTTTGTATTAGCATAAAAACGTTCTTATGATATTCGTTTGAACTTAGATCATATGTAACAACAATGTGTTCATATGACTTGCATTTATGGCTTTTATATATATGCCACAAACATACAATTCGCCTTCTCAAATTACTCAAAAGTGCTTAGTTACTGAAACTTTTAGTACGAATAATGGTTAGCTATCACAAACGTTATACAAATCGAACATCTGAAATAAAGTGCAATTGAAAATATTCACACTACTTTTTATGTTCTTATTTTCAGATGTAAGATTTGACACAAATATATTCAATCTCTTAAAACTACTTAATGGCTCTGAACAGAAAATTTTCAATGTTTAATTTGATGTATTTTGTTAGTGAAACATATATTCCTGTATTTTGTCTGGAGTTACACTTTTAATGTATTTGATAGTTTATAATTCACTAGTATGGGGATTGTGGAGATTATTACGTTTTTGATTGAGATCATGAACCGACTGATGTTAGACCACCACCTTTGAAAACCCGGAAGCACTGGACGGCCGTTTCGTCCTATCGTGGGACTCCTCAGCAGTGCACATCCACGATCCCTCTCATGGGATTCGAACCCAGGGCCTTCGGTCTCGCGCGCGAACGCTTAACCAACTAGACCACTGAGCCGACATCCAATGGTGATAGTGTCTAACGTCAACCGATCCACGAAATTGCGCGACCAACTTCCATTGTACTGAGGAGATACCTGTCTCTACCCAACATGGATTAGCTCCATTGATCACGGCTTCTCACTAGAACTCCGAGAATTCCCTCACGAAGCTAGTCACTAGTGAGCACATGTTGATTACTAGTATGGGGGTTGTGGAGATTATTACGTTTATAATTCAACTTAGTTGGCAGAACCAACTGTTGAACATAACTATGATTCAATCCTGAAACGTATATAGCAACAAGCTTCAATCAATAGAGACATTAGATTATTGATTTTTAAAAAAAGAAGACTTACAGTTTTTCCAAATCTACAAGTATATTTTCATAATAATAGTAATAATTACAATAATTTGATTACTTAACTTTTACCTAACCTATCACTTTACAATAGTTATATTTGTCATTTTGTGTTAATAATGTAGATTATAGTGCATTATAATTGACTTTTTGTTTTTACAAAATACTTTCCTCCTTTTCTAAATCAAATATGAAAACCAAAAAAACAAAATGAGTAAAGAAACAACTGATCAGTTTATGAAGAAAATAAAAAGTAACAACCATTACTGTGTCATTGAATTCAATAAGTAAATTGAATCAGATTGTCTATGTATATCTCATTGTCATAATATAGATTAATTCAAAAGTAAAAAAATGAAATAAAACAGATTCATTCAATTAACCATATACAAAAAGAATAGGTTTATATCAATTATTATAATAAGCGGAAACATGTACACTCAGACTAATCGATGGTGGTGATAAACACTTAAAAAAATAATTGATTAATTAATTAAGTAATTAATCAATAATAATAATAACAATAAAGCAGCAACAACAACAAATAAAGAGTTAAAAATAAATAATGAAAAAAAATAAAATAAAATAGAAAGAGGGATGTTTATGGAAAATGTAAAAGAAGAAGCATATTCTTTATTCATAATGTATTTTAATCTATCATATTCCTCTTTATTCTATACAAATTTCTAAAGTACATACAGTTTTTGTTGCTGTTCGTACTTAAAAATTATAACAAAACTGTTTACAGAATAAGATTTTATTCTATTTTTTTTATTATTTATAACTTAGTCAATGTTATTTTATCTTTGGTTTTTTTATTACCTAACAATAAAAAAAATTATCAATCATAATATTCTTTAATGAAAGACACGGTACTATACAATACAGAAAAAATATGGAATCATTGACAGCATTAATGTTTAATCAAAAAGATAGACTTTAGTTAATTATTATAATGAACTCTAATTCTAACCTTTATTCATTATGAATGTATAGAACGAAAATACTAATAATAATCATAAATGCTGCTTTTCAATATTCTTAAAAGATGAAAATATCAAAGACAACAAAAAATAAGAACATTTTGAGATCATTCATGATCAACATTGGTGGAGAAGATTTGTAACTAAGAGAATAAATACTCCACCATTATCAACAATTATATGAAAATTCTATGATTATGAAAATAGATTCTGTAATCTAGTTATGTAATTCTTTGATTTTTGTAATTTTTGGCAATTCTAATTTCTTTATATCATTAAGTTTAACATTTTGATTGATATAATCTTTATTAGTATTATTTTTATCAAATAAATCAATTGGATTTTTTTCATTCATTGATTGTTTAAATTCATTATGCTTTTTTTCTAATTCATTTCGATAATCTAATCGACGTTTTTCAAATTCTTCTGATAAATTCGGTAAACCAGAACCAAATACCCATGGATGAGCTAAAGTTTCACGAGCTGTTAATCTTGATTTTGGTGTAATAACTAAAAGTGAAGTGATCAAATCTTTGGCATCTTTATAGAAATATGATTGAATATCAGTAGTATATAGATTGTGAATGACGGCAAGAGAGAGAGAGAGAGATAAAGAAACAAAACAAAACGTTATTGCCAAAGTAAATAATGAATTATTTAAATGTAAAATGAGCAAGTTAGTTATATCATCTAGTAATGTAATGATTCTATCTAATATTTATTAAATGTCTCCATTTGTCTTAATTAAAAATAAGTTTATCATTAGATATTCACGCTTAATGACTTTATAAATTATTAATGAATATTTGATATTCATCTTAAACATTAGATACATATGATGCATATACAAAGTTAATTTAAAAAACCAAATTTCTAAAAAAACTAAGGAATGTTCTCTAGAAATAAGTTAAAGTCAATGCATTGCAATGACATAATAGTTTTCTTTTAAATAAATGTTTAATCCTATACTATAATGTACACAGACAAACCGATTATTAGTATGGTCTTTAGTTCAAGTATGAATTATGGTAGATTAGATTATTTAAAAGAAATACCCACACTAATTATAGTTTTTAACTGAATTCAGTAATCTACTTTTTAATGGCTCATAACTATACGAATATTTTGAGCTGAAAACTTAAAATTCTAGAAATTTACTAAACTTTACTCATAGAAATTTGTTTAATACTATTATATATGTTACCATGCAGAATCTTTTGAGGGAATTTCTGCTAGAAATATGAATGAATTCAAACAGAAACAGTAAATATGTTTACGTGAAATATTGATATTCCTTTACTATTTATAATATCCAATAAGAGTTCATTATGTCCTGGAAAAACTAATGTCAAAATCAAATAAAAAAATTAATCCCTTAATCAATTAAAATTATATCGTATTTTAAATGTACAATTATATCGAATAGTTCAAACAATATGGAACTTTATGTTTGGTACAAAATTGCTCTTCATAAATCAAGTTAGTTAAACTTCAAGAAAAATGTACATTTATAACTAACTGTAATAAATATCATTTTCTCATTTTCTTTTTTAGTTTAACCTCTGAAATCTATTATCAGTTTGTATAAGTTTACTTATACAGTTTATCAGAGGGATCATTCATATTATGATAATTGCTTCCATCACAAATATCTAGCACTTCACTTAGTATTGTTTGGTTTTTATCTTCACATTGAGGTTTAAAACTGCAATTGATCAGTCTATTATTGGCATATGTGCATACTGAGTGGATAACGCGATGGCGTTTGAAGCGGATGGTACTGGGTTTGAGTCCCAGAGTGAACATCAACTCTGAAATGCAGGTACATCCAGCTGACGAGTCTCAAATAGGACGAAATGCGCGTCCTGGATTCCACTGCTAGCCACTATTCACCACTGCTTACAAAATATCTAGCACTTGTTCAGTGTTCATTGGTTTTAACTAGTTAAATTCGTAATAAAAATTAACTTCCAGATACAACTGAAAAAAAATAGTCTCATTCAATTATATTTGTTTACTGGATATTTTGTTTTAAGATTTGGTGAGAGATGGCTACTTATCATTGTTTATCATTTAACCTACTGCATATTTTATCTTTATCTTACAATTTTAAAGGAAATGAATATCAATTTTTCATTTTGTTTTTTCTTTACCATATCAAATAATGTTCACCTTAAGTATTTGGATCGTCCAGGAATATCTATTTCGTTTGATGTATTAGTTATATATAATATTTTGTTTGGAAATTAATTTATTTCACATAATTATTTAACGAGACCACATTTCTTCAACCAGATGTAATAATAACTTCTTGATAGTGATTATCTAATTAAAGTTAGAACAAAGTAATTCAAGCTTTTCAGTGGTGGCTACCTATTAAGCACACTTGATTTGTGACTTTTCCTTACGGTAATTTTGTTTATTATTGCGTACACACAGTTTCATCCATTAAATGAGAACATAAACTACAAAATATTAATTATTTCAAAAAATGTGTGTAATCTTTTTTATGGCAGTGATTCAGATCATGATCGATCGTAGCTATGGAATTCTAATTTATGTTAAATAGTTTTCATAAATCACCCAAATGCCTATAATCTCCAAATTTTAATAAAAATCGGACATTACTCAACGAGAACGATGATTATTTGAAAAAAAGGGACTTACATGTTGATATATTATCCCAATAAGGACTCAGGAATACAAAATGACCTCGTTTTATACTTTCGAATAACTTTGACTGTCTTCGATCAGTACTACGAAATGGAGCGAACCCACATAACATAATATAGGTTATAATCCCCAACGCCCACATATCGACTTCAAGACCATAACCTAACGTTTGTGAGGAATGAGCAAAAATATACAGGAATGAAATGATAATACTGATTGTGTGCTTAAATGTCCGTTATAGTTAGAGCATTCTCTCAATTCTCCAGTACTTAATATACTAAAGCACAGTTTGTAGTAAAATAAAGATCAAATCAGATTATTATTTACATTGTTTTTGAATTACGATCAGAGATACCATCAACACTGACTGAATCTACGTAGTACATTCACTAAACAAAGGTTTATTTTTAAAGAGTATCCTGAATAGCGTTAGTAAGCGAGAAAGTCGGAGAAGCATAATCACTCATGATGTCCTATATACGTTTACTTCAACATACAAAATCTAGGTATGAATGATTTGATTAGGAGTATTGGTGATCATAAATAAACAAATGAATTGACTTCGAAGCTTTCATTATTATTCATAGTAAAATATTCAGGCCCAACTCAAAATGGAATTGAACATTTCAATATTGGTATACTAATATCAAAAGTAGACGTTTTTGGTGATGGGTCATACAGAAAGGTTCTGTGATGCTCATTTGCATTTGCATTTCTACTCAATCTTTTGTTTGGTTCACTTTTGAATACCTGGTTCGTTGATCTTCGTTATGTGGATTAATCGATCTAATTTAAATTAAAATATCTCTTAGTTTTTCGATTATTTTAAATCCATTTAATCCATCTAGCCCGTACAAATGAATCTTTGGCAAGTGATATGTAGAGGTTTAAATGAAGCTTCTGTAGAAGTTGTTTGTCGTGACTACGTAGCCTGATAAACAGTCATCCAAGTCAAGATGGAAATTAGGTACGCTCAATAATTAAATAGAAAGATTATAATTCTAAAGCCAAAAATATTAAAATCACTATCAAATAGATAAGAACAGGGGTTAATTTATAGATCGAAGGTCGTCTGAAAGAAAAAATGAATAAACCCATTTTCAGATGTTAGAGAGGGATTAAAATAGTTGATACAATACTTATATCTAGCTTCTGATATTAGTTCAAAATCATTGTACTACTTCGATTTTTTAATTAATTACATATTTTTTAATTCGTACTAAGTATCAGAGATACGGACGTTTTGCGGAAAACTTATTAGAAAATCTCAGAAATGTTTTCTTTATTTCTCAGTATATTGATGTTTGAATTTATACAGACTAAGTAGAAACACCATTAAAATTAATAAAATCTAGAAATCTAACCACTTTTCTGTGTAAGACATGGTATTCGAAGGGCTAAACCTAAACAACTTCATTTTTATTTTGGCTTAAAATTCCTGTAAATGACGTCGTCATTTACAACAGAAATAGTTTGTACTACCATGTGTACCAACTGACTGGATGGAATTTAAACGTTTATACACCCAATGTATATTCATTTCTGTTCACTGGTAAGACTAAAATGCTTTTACACATTCAACTGATGAAAATTAAAGAACTAAGTATTAATTTCAATTTATTCCATAAAATTCAACCCGCTAAATTTAGTTCAATAACACGAAGATTTCATATTCTATTACATTCGAACTGGATCTTTTAACAAAACTCGTTTGTAATGTCAATGTTGTATAAGATTTTATTATTCAGATTCATTTATTATATATCTGTTTGGCATATTTATTCAACATCTCAAGTTTTAGGATACATTGTTCAACAAAACAAATAAAATACAGAAACATGTATGTGTTTGGTTGTTGCCATGATCACTTAATGTTTACTGTCGTCTATTTTTATACAATAAGAACAAATATTTCAATGCAAATCTATCTGGTTTTAAAACTTAAAGATTATTGTTAACTTCTTAGTTGGTTCGTGGTATTTAAAGAATAGTTAAATTTAAACTAGTTGTTTACATCTGAAAATAATATCATCTAAAAAATTATTCAAAATGAGATAGGGCTGAACAGTTATGACCACTTGTAACACCATACAAGGTTGAATCTAAGACTTACAATTCTCAGCATAAACAAGATGCTTTCAAATCATCAAGCTAGAAATCCTATTGTCCATATTCGTAAGTTTAACAATTAATGATTGGTCAATATAGCTAATATAATCATCCAGTATTATGTCACGAATGAATTTCAATAAGCGATTAGTGTAAAACAGTTCTTTTTTAGTTATTTGTGATTTTTTGAATGATTTTCATTTTTTATATATGACAAACCTATTTTCACATTAATAATAATTTACGACAGAAAATTGATTATCTAGTGATGATGGCACTTAGTGCATAAAAGTTGTATTTATTAGTTTAAGAGTGTTAATTACATTAAAAAAATATATAAGCTAATAAATTTACTTGATGTTGATTACTTGTACATTCTCATTGTTGTTTAGGACTGCAATTTTTCAGTTTCTTGTTAGCATATGTACATCCTGTGAGGACTGCCTCGATATAGCCTTAAGTCACAAGCTTTATAAGCAAAGATGGATAGTGACTAGCAGTGGAATCCATGACGCGTTTCGTCCTATTTGGGACTCGTCAACTGGATGTGCCTACGTCTGAGTTAATGTTCACCCTGGGACTTGAACCCAGTACCGTTCGCTTAAAACGCCATCGTGTAATCCACTTGGCTGATATTTTTCACTATTTCGAATAACTCAATTTTATGTTTAACTATAGTTTCTGCTGAAAACTTACATGTATTTACCGGTAAGCTAGTAGATCTAGTCCTATAGACCATTTTAAATCTGAAATCATATTAGATAATCACTAAAGTATCATCAAATTAATTATTTTTAACAATTTATGGTTAATTCTCATTTTATGTATTACTATTCAATTAGTCTATTTCACTAGTTTCTCCTGAATCGTATTTAGATTTGTAATGCATTTGACTACATTTTTTCTTCTGTTTTTAAGCTTGTAGATATTTTTTTCTTGGTAATATAAAATATTCCAAATCCAGTCAGTACACACTTTCTACAGATTTTACCATTGGGATACACAACTACATTTTGTTTGTCTTCTTTCCTTTCTTTGTTATATATATATGCAGAAGTAACTAGTTTTTGTGTTACGCAGAAGTATTTCATAATCTTCAGCTATGTTTACTTTTACTCATTTTATGTAAAAAAAGTAGTTTCGACAGAAATAATACCTGATTCTTCTAATATTTCTGGAGCAATATACGTTGGAGTTCCGCATACAGTGTACATACTTTTTTTCACCACTAAGGCTAGTCCAAAATCGGCAAGTTTGACTCGTATTTGACCGTTTTTCTGTCGTAATAACTTTTATGAAAAAGGAAAGATAAAATAACAGGAGCGAATGAATTTACTCGAATATTTTGTTGAACTTAATAATAATTCTACTTCCAATTTCCTGACAAAACAACGTATAAAAATATTTACGATTCGTTATATATATATATAAATGCACACTGCTGCGGAGTTTCACATCAGGATGAAACAGCCGTTCAGTGATCTTAGGTCCACATAATGGTCTATCTAAGATCACTTTATGACCTAAACTGAGAGAATTCTGCAAATAGATAAATAAATAAATAAACTTTTTTGTGCTCTTTAAGTCTTAAATATGTGAAATATTTGGGATGAAAAGTTGCTGCCTGTGATTTTTAGATGGAGGAAGTTAGTCAATGTAGTGATAAGTATCTTTGACTATTTTACTTATTTGATTATTAATAAATAAGGATACTGAATTTATAAACGTAAGATTTTTATCCCGAATAATCTTATGAATTGTTTTCAGTAAAACCAAAACACTTAAAATAGAAACAAACGATTTCACCGTCTATTTTCTTTGTATTTATCCTTTCTTTGTAAAAGACTTCGATTTTGTCAATAATTCAGTATTATTTAAGGAATAATCCAAGAATGTATACTTTTAACTTAATGAAACATCACACAGGGATTTTGTGGTTTTTTTTCAAATAATGTTAATTCGTTATACAAAGTATTAATGGTTGAGTATAAAATCCTGTCCATCCACTTGCTTATTCACTTTCTAAATCATAAGAACTGAACAACTTATGCAATTAGTTTTCAAAAACAAACGGTTCAATAAACGTTTGAAGGTAATCAAAATGAATTAAAGCTTACCAATATGTTTTCAGGTTTTAAATCTCGATGTACAATAGATCGACAATGTAAATAAAATAAAGCACTGGCTAAATCAGATACTATTCCAGCAGCTATCGGTTCAGTGAACTTTGTTGCTTGAGTAATTCCGTCAAACAGATCACCATCCTACAAAAAATGTTTTGAAAATCAAATGAAATAATGCCATCTAAGTAGTGCGTCTATAAATAAGGACATAATTATCAGATTAAACTAAACATTTGTAGTAATATAATTAGTTTAAATAAACAAATAGAACAAGAGGAACGGTTTAGGATCTTCTGTTTTGCACCCTAAAGTTACGAATCTCGTCTGAGTTGCACTGTCTACATAAAAATATTTTGTTGATAGAATTTATTTCGACTATACTAAGAGAATGTGATTTTGAAAGTTCGATGTCTGTTCTGTAACTCACTTGAATCAATGATGGAAAAGTTAAGTATCCGAGTTAAATAATTCATTCCATTATCAATAGTAACCTTAACTTTTTATACTTTTATGGTTAACACTTGAACACGTAGATAGCATATAGAAATTCCCAAAGAAAAGACTGTTGGCATAATGAAGGTTATATAAAAACACTTACAAAGAGGTGGTCGAATTTTTATTTCAATAACTTAAAGGCGTTTAGAAACTTTATAAAACCAAATGAAGCCATCTCAATATTATAATACATCCCTTGAAATCTACTCGTGGATCCTTTACATATTTGAAGTCATCAGAATCAACTGTAAAAGTCTGATTCAAGTATTCAAAGTGTGTTTACAACGGTCAACAAATGCATCACCACATTTATAATCTGCATGTTACAAACTCTAGACCTATAATCCCCTTGTCTTATTTCTTCCCTGCCGAATTCTTAACTAATGAGTTTGAAAAGATAACTTTGAAATATTCCAAAATATAAAAAACAGTAATTTTATTAACCCATCACATTTTGTCCATTCGAACAATTGGATGATAAGCAATCAACCAATTATAATTATGAATTAACTAAAACTATCAGCTTAAAGGCAGCTGAAACAAATGCAACAAAATAGGATGAGTTCATAGGATGCTGTGAACATATTTAATATCAATATAAAATAATGAGAATTCATTTATCAATATTGAATTTTGTAATTGTTTTGTTGAAAATGTTTGGTCCTATGTAATGTATCATAATTTTCCACTTACCATATATTGTCTTTTCTTTATTTAAACAAAACTAACGTGAAGAAATAACATTCCTCTCATATACTGCTTATTGTAATTAATATCTGGTTGTTTTATTTGGTCTCTTGAGAACCTGCAACCTATCTCATACCATAAGTATTCATTCATCTGTGTAATCTAGTGTAACCAAAGATCATTTAAAAGCTTATAAATATGATATTAAACTTCTTACAGATAGACTACATGACGCTAATACACAGCTGGAGTTTCTATGTTCACAAATTAATTTAGATTAAATGTACACTCACAAGAGTACAATGAAGGTTACAGACTAAAAGATAGAGACGAAAGAAGGTGACGCAAATTTCGACGTGAAACTATTTAAATTTAATAGTTCTACTTCATAAAATATTTAAATGAAATTGACATCTTATAACCCTGTTTATCTTAAATGATAAAGACGTCTTGCAGAGAATACATCAGGATTTTAAGGAGAAAAGCAAGAAGTAAAGTCAATCTCTATGTTTACAGCACGGAAAGTATGTGAGTTCAGGAATTGTTATCGAGATTTTTATTGAGGTTTTCAATGGTGATCTGACATTAATCTGTTCATGATCTCAGTAAAAACTCGACAATCTCCACAACCCTATATTGAAAATTTAAGAGCTGTCAACTGAGTAGGTAGAAAACATTTAGAACCAGATAAAACTATCATTTACTAAATAAAACGGTTTAAATGATTTAAACGATGGGTCACTTTTCTAGTAAATCTCAAGGCTATAATAAACCACATAAAAATAATATATTTTCTACCGAATCTGCTGTACATGATTGCTGCTATGAATTTACGATAGTCATTTTAAAAATGAATATCAGGTTGACATATTCTAAGATGAAAAAGGAAGGAATTAATTTACAAACCTAAAGCATTCAATTGAATTTTGCATGAGTTTATTGTAGTCAAAAAGTTCCAACTGAAACTAAAATTCATTTGGACATGAATAAATACAGCATCATTCTTATTTTATCCTCATCTCTTAAAATTAACCTGCATTAATTACTCTATCAAAACCAGTATTCTTATTACAATAATTCATTTGTTTACTCTTTATGTACTACTCACTATTAAAGGTAATGCCTATGAATATTTGGTTAACGCATTCAATTTTTAGCCATTTTCCCACAGACTCATACTCTTCACCGTCTTTTGTAAAACAAAGTTATTATCTCTAGATTTATGTTTTCCGTATGAGCACGAACTTTTCTTTCCTCACTTGATTCGATTTATGGAATAAAAGACATTAAAATATTTTGAAATTCATTTCATAACTGAATTCTGTATATTGAACTTATCTTTGTCAGTAGATGGAAATGAGCTGATTCTAAAGTCATATTCAAAAGTTTCATTAGTTTTATTTCAAGAAATCTGTATAATTAAACACTAGTATAAACTTCAAAACTGTTGTGCTACATGGATATACAGGTTAGAAAATAATCCAAAAAGAATTAGAATGTTTAAATTCTAATGGAACTTTGTTGCTGAATATAGTGAGATAAGTTTTCCTAATTGAACTGCAAAAGATAAGTAACGTCACTTCAGCTAAGCATACATTGGAAACTAAGACAAATGTTCCATACTAATATGAGACTTCTTGAATGTGTGCGCCTATAATAAAAAAATGGGAAGATTACAGAGATTCAAGATCGAAGTCGAACACATCACATATAGACTACTGGTTGTCGAGCTAAAGTTGATTCGTGATGTAAATCATTTTTGAAGCAAATAATTTTCACACATTTTCCATCAGATAGAGCGTTTTATAGACCACCGTGTACGGACCATGACTCTAATGAACAGTTTTTCAAACTGCTCAAGTATACTGTTATACTTGTTTTGTCATTTCTGAATTCATTTATGCTGTCAAATGAGTCCATTTCAAGGATAACCGAACTGAAGGAATGAAAGATATGTTTGGATGATAATGGTGTGAAGTAATTAGATACACCACAAACAAATTTTCTAAGTCATCTTAGTTTCGCTACGTAAATATGTGCATACGTTTTCATCGAATGCTTAATAGATGGAAAACTCATGACGCTCTATTGTAGAATTAATGGCTAAAACTCACAGATTTTTAGATCCATGTTCGGCTGAAGTTTGATATATTGTAGAAAATACATAAAAATAGGCCAGTATATACATAATGATGTAATCAACGGACAAAACTCATGGAATTTGATTAGTTAAGAGTAATTTGATATCTTTTACCAAATCATATGACTTTTCTATTCACAACAAAATTATCTACTATGTTCACTTAAAGCTTTTTTCATTGGTTCCTTTGTCAGCGTTTCCTTATTTTGAATAGTTCTATCATATTTTGTGTTATTTCAAAGTACTTTCTGTCGTGTATTAGAACGATTGTTTTTATTTATGTTTAGTTAATTTACTGTAATATGGTTGAACAAATGTATATTAACGTATCTTAATGTGTATTATAAACGAATGAATAACTATTGAATAGATTATAAGCCCACAAAATTTATTTATTGTTTAAATCTGTCATATGATGATTAAAACTAATCCGCAAAGCTATATCCTGATTGACAACCAAAGCCTTTGAATGTGATAAATATAGACGTCTTCGTATATTTATTTCAAGATATGTGTAACTTCTTGCGATATACATATAAAACAACACTTAATGATCATAAAAAAGGTAAATTAAACTAACAAGAACTATAGGCTGTGAAAATTTGTCATATACTATCTAAAATGAAATAAAACTACTCGGATAGATATTATTTCACATATATTTACAACATTATGTTTATATTTTCAGATATAAAAACATTGTTATTATTATGTTTAAAATTCTCAAGAAGTATACATTGAAAGAAGAAACGAAAAGAATTAAAGTTATTAGTTGTTTTAAATTATTCATTCAACTTTCATAAGTTATACAAAGAAAATACAAAAACCAATTAATTACTGGGTTTGAGTCCCGGAGTGAACATCAACTCTGAGATGCAGGTACGTTCAGCTGACGAATCCCAAATACGGCGAAACGCGTATCTTGAATTCCCGTGCTAACCACTATCCATCATTGTATAAAAACTAATTTTTATTTGTGTTCGTCTTATTTAATTCATTAAGAAAATTTTTTTAAAGTATTTTTATGTTAGCAACTTAAATCATTACCATGAACAAATACTTTAAACAAAGAGGGGTTTTGTTTACATTGTAGTAATTTAATAATTGAATGCATTAGTCAGTTGAAGCTAGACCACTATGGAAAACCTAGAATCACTGAATGTCCGTTTCATCCTAGTATGGGACTCCTCAGTAGTGCACATCCACGATCCCAACCCCCGCGACATTCGAACCCAGGACCTACCAGTTTCGCGCGCGAACGCTTAACCATTTACACCACTGAGTTGGCATCCATACTAGGATGAAACGGCCATCCAGTGCTTTCAGGTTTTCCATGGTGGTCTGGCTTCAATCGACTCATTAATTCAATTATTAAATATTTTAAATATCAATTTTTTATCTATCAGTCTATTCGCCTATCTATCATATATGATTAACTTCATCAGAGTTTGAGAATTAAACAACTCTAGTCATCAGTAATAAATTCACTCTGATACGGAATCAAGATAATGGAATAATTACTGGATCAATAAAAATCATTCTATAATACATATGTTTAAAATAACAACCATATCATACTACACTATTTCAATGGTTATATATTTCTTATCATCACTTACATAAATAAATAAAAAGTGACTAACTTTTAAAGTTATGGTTTTTTGTATTAACTAACTGAGATAGTTTTATGAGAATTAATAAATAAACTTAACAATGAAATATGTGAAGAATGCACTTAACATTTCTCACATTGATATTTTTTACTTCGTTCATATCATTCTCTACAATATAGGTTCTCCTAACAAAACACTTATTATAGTGAGTAGTTACACTATCATTTCTTTTATCTTATGTTATCTATGGACAACAGGGTGGACAACATCACAAAAGTTTAATACGGCTTTTCTTCGGGTTACTGACAACCTCAACAAATTCAAGGTAGCCCTCAGCAATAGGTTACAGGCCCTTCATGATCTACTCAATGGAGTAGGAACTACTATGGAGAGCAACTGGAAAGGGACAAAAGTGGCAATCGCTTCAACATGTCAAGATGTTCTGGGCCACAAGAAGCACCATCACAAGGAGTGGATCACTATTGACACACTGGAAAAGATTCAAGAAAGGAGAAACAAGAAGGCAGCAATCAATACCAGCCAAACAAGAGCAGAGAAAGCCAAGTCACAAGCTGAATACGCAGAAGTAAACAAGTAAGTGAAGAGGAGCATCAGAACCGACAAATGTAAATATGTGGGAGATCTAACAACGACGGCGAAAAAGGCTGAAAGAGAAAGAGACATGAGACAATTATATGATACAACAAAGAAACTCGCTGGAAATTACCGTAAGCCAGAACGGCCAGTGAAAAGCAAGGGAGGAGAAGTAATCACCAACCTTGAAGAACAACGAAACAGGTGGGTAGAGCACCTAAAGGAACTCTTGATTCTGCCAGCCCCACTGAACCCACCCAACATTGGATCCGCATCCATGAGCCCCGCAATCAATTTTGCACCGCCAACCACTGAAGAAACCAACATGGCCATCAGACAAATCAAGAGCGGTAAAGCAGCAGGACTAGTCAACATTCCAGCAGAAGCACTGAAAGCAGACGTAGCAGTAACTGCAAAGATAATCCACATTCTCTTCAGCAAGACTTGGGATGAGGGACAAGTACAAACAGACTGTAAAGAAGGACTTCTGATCAAAATACCAAAGAAAGGCGATCTCAGCAAGTGTGATGACTACAGGGGCATCACTCTTCTCTCAATACCAGAAAAAGTCTTCAAAAGGGTGTTGTTAAACAGAATGAAGGTCTCCGTAGACGCTCAACTTCAAGATTAACAGGCTGGATTACATAAGGATCGATCGTGTACAGACCAAATCGCAACACTACGGATCATTGTGGAACAATCAATTGAGTGAAATTCATCACTCTACATCAACCTAATTGGCTACGAGAAAGCATTTGATAGCGTGGACAGGACAACACTATGGAAACTTCTTTGACACTACGGCGAGCCTCAGAAGCTCGTCAATATCATACGGGATTCCTATGATAGATTAAACTGCAAAATCTTGCACGGAGGACAGTTGACAAACTCGTTCGAAGTAAAGACCGGTGTCAGGCAAGGTTGCTTACATGTATGTATGTATGTATGAATAAAAGGTAATCAAACTCACTTTAATAAATTCCATAACAAGCCATATTTCACTTGCAGTTTCAAATTCCTCATATAAACGTACAATATTTGGATGACGACAATGATGTAATATATGAATTTCGTTTAATAACATGGCTTCTTTACCCGTAAGTTTACTTTTCTCAATTATTTTTAAAGCATACTGATCATTTGTATCCCGCCTTTTTCCTAGTTTAACAATAGCAAAATTACCATCACCTAGTTTACGACCAACTTGATAACGTTTCGATAAATAATCAGGATCTTTTTGTAATAAAGAAAAATACAAAGTAATAAAAATTATTGATTTAACAGTATTATGAAACATTGAGAATTAATGTCTAAATCTCCCAATGTAAGTAGAAGTCCTAAATGGAAGTATTGAATCCCTACGTTTACATACTTTCATAATCATCACTTACCGGATCTCATTGATATTGTTTTATTTTATTTTTATGTAGAAAGCTTTTATGGATTATTGCCAAGTATGTTATAGTATTTTGAACCCTTGTTTTAAGTAAAAGGCTAGCCTAACATAGCTGTGTGTGCTTGGTTCATCAAACTATTCATTTCATATACAATATTTTAAAATACTTGGTTCTATGGTGAAGCTAAATGGCATCTTCAATAGTTTCCAACATACCAGGGAGCTAATAAATCTTTGTAAAACCTTGTATTTAATTGAGAACCCAACCACACTTGACGCTCAAGCACCTGATTGACGATTTCAAATCATTCGACGATTTTAAATATTAGTAGCAGGAATTTCTGGTTCGAAAGTGCTTTATATCTCGTTGCTTTAAGCATATGTACTTTATGAAACATAGGATATGATGCCCATAACATGCATTCCTTCACTTTCGTTCGATTTCCGAAAAAATATAACAATTAGTTTAAAAGTCATTGTTAACAAAATACAAGTTAAAATCATCCTTGTTATGAGATTTAATTATTCACCAGAAATAGTTTAAATTCCTGGGATACGCTAATTGTAAGCACTAAACTCCATAAGGTTTAGGATATGTATATTTAATATTTGAGGTTTACCATCATTTTACGTAACTAAGCTCAGTAAGATGAAGCTCAGCAGCTGAATAAAAGAAGGTAAAATCCTCTTTAAAATGACAAACATTGTAAGATGTTTTCGAAAGAAACAAATGCTAAGAAGTACTTAAAAACTTTAGACTAGGTAGGTACAGCATCTGATTATTGCGATAGGATGCGTAGTGAAAGTATTTAAGGAAATTTTATTGCTTCATTTATCGTAATTTTATCGTATTTTTAGGCTTCGAAAAATTTGAACTCTTACAATCAATCACTAAGTCTGTACCTTCTCTCACACTAACATTCAGCGGTGAAAAGCTTTAGGAACTAGTTTAATTCCTGGGATAATACACATCTTACAAACTTCACAAATACATCCCTGTAGAAACAGCGTAGTTTACTACCGATTTTGACCATTCTACCCATCTTTATATACTTTTAACAAACACAAACGTATGTGATATATGCTTCATAACAAGCATTCATAAATTTTTAGTGAAACAGATGATCTATGTAGTTTCTTCAGCTGGAAACTTTATTTACCTTTTCAGACGTCTCGTAGATGTTTGTCAGTTATACTCAACATATAGCCCGTTACAAATGCGTGTTAAAGCAAGTTGGCATATCACATCAACAAGGTAAGATGAATTCAACAAGACCAAGAAACCAAAATGGTGGTAGAAACATTAGTGAAAAAAAACAACTAAATATTGGTGAATACGGTTCAAAAGAAAGGGATAAATTCAAGAAATGCAATGTATGATATAAAAGTTAGGCTCGATGTTCTGAGAAAGATGAAGAAGGAAGGCTCCTAAGCCGCTGCCACTGATTCCGAGACATATCATGCAACGCCACCAGTCACAAAGATTACAGTTTCCACACAGATTCATATCAAATAGTTTCCCTATTACAACGCGAATCATTCCATCAGTTAGTGATTTTACTGACTGATGTCATGTCATGATTTGACCGCCCTTAGCTTTCCTTCAGCCTATTCCTACTCCCGCAAACACTAAATTCTGAGGTATTTCAAAGCTGGACATATGTAATAAATACCCTAACCACCTCATTCGGTGATTTCCAACCTACTGGGTTTGTTTCATTTACGAAGGTTCATAAATTGTTTACCAAGTACAAAGAAAACACTGTGAAATATTCATTTACAGTTTTCAGGACAATTCTGTGCGACAGAATAATTTACCCTCACATTTCAACTGACCAAAATATCTTAAGGTAATCAGTTAGTATATGAATAAATATTTATATGATAACTTCAACACTTGAATTTAGTAAACAGATAAACTCTATTTGTTGACAATAATGAAACAATTTTATGGACTCCTGTGCTTCAGAATGTTAACGAATAAACTTAATATTTTCTTTCTTATGAAATATAATCCTTTTTAATTGGTAAAATATAAATTTCAAATGTGCAAACTAGTTTTAGTCCGTTGATTTTTTGTATAAAATTGGGCATAAAAAAGAAACAATCATACCATACATTTCATGGTAAATATAAACATAAACTGTAATTTATTCAATGTAATGAGGATGTTTATAACAGGTTTTTCCGTATTTATTTATTTATTTATTTATATTTAATACAAATCATAGTTAAATAAAATACTTGGAATCATGTATCACTGAAGTTCATTAACACAACGAATACTTAATATTATTACCATACAATAAACTATTTTGTGATAACACAATAACAAAAACACTAGAAATAATAACATAACAATACGTAAATTAACAATTTATGTAAAATAACTATTTTTGTTTTGAACATCTACTAATATAAAGAAAAGATGATTAGAGTTATACTTTAGATTGTTATTTGTCAAACAATATTACAAACTGATTGAAGTTAAACGTGTAAACCATCGGATGACAGATCAATAGGGCGAAACTCTAATTTATGGACGAGTCAATCAGAAGCGTTTTAGGGATTTCAAGGTTACGGCGCCAACTTCAGTGCTTAATGCTAACGTACGATCGGCTTACAGAGAATTTTGTACATGATGATGATTGAACGACTATAACATATAAAACGGCGAGACTATAATTTATGAACAAATCAATCGGGTATAAGATAACAGATCTCGGATTTTAACGCGAAAGCCTTTCATACATTTGGCCAACTAGATTTCTGGCATTATAGCTGATGTCAGTTCGTGATGGAAACCCCATATATAATTCTTAACTAAGGTAAATTATGATAATTATCGCGAACTGGATAAAAAAGCACCAGTAACACTGACTGCAGCCAGGTACTACAGTGCATACGGATGTTTGAAGAGCGTACAGACTCATACATAGGCCAGTTTATGTGCATCGTGTCATTGTCCACAAGTAGCATTTTGTGTACTCAAAAACCGGTGTGACCATAAACAATATTGAAGCTATATGGTCGAGGCTGGAAGAGTCTTTGAGACTTTATCATGGCTCCAGAGGCAGACTATTCTGTAGCCGTATGGATGATTTCCTCTACTACATGCATTACGATCTTAGAACCTCTGAACCTCTTCCTAACCTTGACAAGTTTTTGAACCACGTATAAGAACTGTATCCTCTTTATCTCCTTGGTTTTTTATAATATATTTTTACTCCATACTGACTGTTTGCTGATTGGCTAATATTTCTCAAGATCACTTAAGATTCGTTCAAAGGTCGTCCATAATTAGAGTCTCTCCGAATTGGTGTAGAATTCTATACTAGACGAGACAACTGACTAATATTTCCTAGTTTTTAGTGATTATTCAAATAATATCAATAAGTAATATGAAGTATGATATTTTAAAACTAGTTTCAGATACCATGACTAACTACTTAAAGCTATCGAATTTTAATCTATTAAAAGTTGTACATCAAATGATTGTTAAGTAATTTTTGATCACATAAATTTGTCCTATTACTGTTAAGTACTTATGAATTAAATGTAAGTTATTTAATATAACACGTTTATGATAGAATCAGAATGATTCAACTTATATTCTCTTGAAATAAACTCAAATAATCTTTATGTTTAAATGATCTGTGGACAAATGAATGATATATAGGTATATGAATATATGATAAATACTGGAAATTTTAGACTAAATATTATTATCATACCTGAAACATATGTTACTCCAACTGCCGTATAAACTGATTTCAATTTATCATTATTTGGTTTTTTAAATCCACTAACTGTAAAACAATTTGCAATTAATTTTTGTTGTGTACTATCAGAAACATCTAATATTTTGACAGAAGTGATATGATTAATATTAGTAGCAGCAGTTGTGGTAATGTTATTATTAACTACATCTGGTGCGTTTGTATTCAAATTTTGTTGCGTTATAATATCTCTGTTAGCATTACATCTAGTGGTATCATCGTTATTTTCTTTTGGTACTTGATTTACATCTTTATCAAATGTTTTGTTCATTAGAATTTCGGAGGACTTTTGTTTTACATTTAGAAGACCGTGTGCAACGGACAATGATTTTTCTGTAAGAATAAAATGATATTTGAGATTTATCAACAAATAATAATAGAATACAGTTTCATTAAAAAAAGGTATTTATTTGCACCGAATTGCTTTGACTTCAAGTGAAGTGATAAGTTGAACAAAGAAAACATTCCTGAAGAAATAGCCATTATAAACAACTGATCTAGTTTGTTCCATATTTTTTTAATAATTCATATTTCTTTAACTAGAGAAATAGGCCAGTTGATACCTATATATTTGTACATCATACCATATATTATTATTTTATCGGCTAATGAAGATTTAATATGGTGTTTCGAGTGATAAGGATCGCGTATAAATCCATTTATAGTTGTAAAAATTATTCGAATATGTACAAACACTATTCATTGAAGTACAAAACTATCTAGATGTTAAATTAGATTCTACTAAGTAAGATGAAGAGATAAAAGTAGACTGATCTAAGTTTACAGTCTACACAGTTGAATATAGAGTATATGTTGAATTCTAATTAAGAACGAATGAAACAAAATGGTAATTAGCCACTTCTACAGCTTATTATACTTTCATATGAATAGATTCACAAAAGGTAACTTGAAATTGTTAAGCAACTTTTTAATCCATAAATTATTAGCCCAAAATACTATTCATGACAAATGAAGCAAACAGAACAACTGACAAATCCACATATATTTACTTCCATTTTTAAATTATTCGGTATTAAAATGTCTAATCAGAAATGATAGGTTATTTAAAGTAATTAAATCAGAAAGTTACTTTTAAACAAATTTACTGATACAGATTAATTAGTCTCTGGATTTTATCATAATGTTTCAACATTAACAATATGTTATATTTTACCTCTAGATGAGTTAATGTAACATATTACTATCTAATGAGATGTAAGATTGCAAATAATTTATTATCAGTCAAAGTTCCTACAACACCTGTATATGGTACTTCCCTCTTCTTATGTAACAACTAAAACACATTTGTCAAAAATTAATGATATAACTCCAAGTAGGTTTTATATATATATCATGAAATTTTATTGAGTTCTATGTTGTAAGCGCCTATTATTGAAGGTATTAGGTTACTCAACATATATATTATTTGTATCAAAGGCTTGACCGTAATATAGCAATGAGATTTGCTCAAACTTCCGATCGCGTTCAAGTTATTGACTTCCATCATACTTCGTAGGTTGTTCAAAACCCGAGAAAGATTGACTCGCGAAGAGCAGGCTGGTTTTCGTTCCAGTCGAGGATGTATTGGTCATATCTTCACTCTTCACCAAATGTTAGAACACCGTCATACTTATCAAACGCCAATAATCGTAGTGTTTCTTGATATTAGGGCTGTTCTCTGAGATTGTCTATGGAAGAAGGGTGTGCCTGAGAAGTTTATTAACATTTTAGAAGCCCTATATACAAACACCCCAGGTAGAGTGAGGGCATACAACCACCTTTCTCCATTGTTCCATTCGAGCAGTGGAGTTAGGCAGGGTCACCCAATCTCACCATTCCTTTTCAACTTTGCCATCGATGACATTCTGCAAACAGCTCTGATGGATGTAAGTAATGGTGGTGTGGATCTGTTGCCTGAAGAAAGACTTATCGACCTTGAGTATGCGGACGATAATTTCTTACTGTGCGATAATGCCCAAGCCATGCAATCCGCACTTAATCAGTTGGCAATCAGTGTCCGTAGGTACGGTATGTAGTTTGGATTTTCGAAGTGCGAAGTACTTCTACAAGACCGACAGGATTCTAATCCTATACTCACTCTGGATGGTGAGCAGATAGAAGTGGTCGAGAAGTTCGTGTATCTGGGTAGCTGCATAAATGCTGGTGGTGGCGTGAGTGAGGAAATCAATGCACGTATAGTGAAAGCCAGAGTGGCTTATGCCAATCTGGGCCATCTTTGGCGCCTTCGTGATGTTAGTCTGGCCGTAAATGGTCGGATCTTCAACGCGTCGGTGATAACAGTTTCGCCCTATCCTTGTGAAACCTGGCCTCTCCGAGTTGAGGATGTTTTTGGTCATCTTTGTCTCCGTAGGATTGCTGACATCCAGTGGCAACATCATGTTAGTGATGCAGAGGTTCGGCATCGTGTGTTCGGGCACAGGTACGATCATCAAAATGGTTTCACCATCTTGAAACATCGACTTCGGTGGCTTGGACATGTTCTCCGAATGTCGTCTCACAGAATTCCACGTCATGCATTATTTGCCGACTCTCGGACTGGTTGGAAAAGGCGGAGAGGTGGTCAATGTTTGACATGGTGTCTTGGTATGAAAGAAAGCTGCAAAGGACTGGCTTCTGTTGGTGCTTCACGACTCCCTGGCTGGGGTCCTCGAGATGGTGCGACACAGTGGCTAGAGACATTATCAGATATGGCTCAGAATAGAAGCCAGTGGTGATCGTGCTGTAACCTTCTTTCACTTTATTCATAAAAAGTGGTTGTACCTTCCTTAACTGAAATATTTCTTGTGATTGTACCTTTCCGTTTCCCCCATTATTATGATTATTATTATTACACTACCTTACACTAATCTATTCTTTATTGTTCCTCTTTGTACACTCCTCACCTTCTTTGTTTCTCTTCGAATTCTCATTGTTTTGTGTGGCGCATATATATTTGGTGCCCTCTTGTACCAATAGTTATGTGTTCAAATGATAAATAATAATCTAACAAACTATTGACTGTTTCCTGATTATATATTATTACTAAATATGGTTTATTTTCTGTTTACTTGCTGTGTCATGTAAATCATTATTCAAATCTAATTTTACTCATCAAACTTGTATAAAAATATTTTAACCATTTTGAGTGGTATTTTATCACACTGAACATACCATAGTAACTATGGAACATAATATACATGAGCTACCGAGTTTAGGTAGCCAATAATTGTCCAAGAGACATAATATTTGTATCATTACTAGTAAATGCCTGGGTCATCCCGTTTTTGAAATCCAGGACTACATTTTATGCAGTCCTTGCTCAAGTATGTGCATCTTCTGTTGATTGCCTTAATGTAGCCACTTCGTCACAAGATATTTAGAATAGTTGGGTTATGCAATATATTATAATCACAAAATGAATTCATTATGCCTAATTCATCGTATATACACTACAATTTGACGTTGAACGCTTTCGTTACTAATGCGTATGATAAACACGAGTTGTCAGTAATGTGTCAATAAATCACATCAATTCTAACATCAATAAATTTGTACATATCTTGTTTATTCATGAACTTAGTAAAATTATACTCGAAATCAACCTAAAGGATTCAACTACTTACTTTCGGCTGAAATTTCCGTTTGAATCCCAGGTGAGTGATTATTTTTCGTGGCATCCGAAATATGATCCATTTTCTGGGGTTTAGTTTCTATCTCTATGTTGTTGTCTTTATCACTAATAATATGATTTTCATGGATTTTGGATTTATCAGTGATTAATACGGATGTGTTAATGTCAACTAATGATTGTCCATTCTCAATAAATCCCTTATTACTGCAGTGATTAGTATTATCATTTGTTTTTACATTATGATTCGACTGTAATAACTGATGAGATTGTTTACCAAATGTGATATTGCTGATGTTTCTTTGTGTTTTATTGATGACACTACTCGTGTTACCATCTTTATTTTTAGTAATACTAGATGCATTATTATTAGTAACCGATGTGTTTGTTTTCGGTTGTTGATTTAATTTAAATTGTTGTGCAATGAATGACTGATTCGTTAATTCAGAAGAATGCTGTATTAGCTCCTCTGTATGTGGTCCAATCTTATTGATCTGTGCATTATTATTATCAATAGCAGTAGTATATGTATTCATAGTTAATTTGGTTGAATTATTATTTAGATTTTGGACTTTATCTTTATGACAGTTAGTTAATGTCAAAAGATCCTTCCCTTGAGTTCTAATTTCTAGTGAAGTTCGATCAGCCACCTGGTGAATTGGAGGAAAAAAAGCGAAAAGATAAAATACACCACGATATTTTTACTCTATAACTACAGAAAATACAAAGTAAATAAAATAGACGTATTGTTTATAAGTTATTTGTAGACGTCAATGTAATGTACTGCTAAATCAATAGTTCCAGATTTATCAACCTCGATCAATTTTAATAACCACCTAATCACTATGACATTAGTTATTTTCATTAAGTGAGTACAACGGTTTGGTTACCACCTAGGCTATGTTGATAACTAATTAGAATAAAAACAGATAAACTATTGACGTATATTTGCGCTAACTTCATGAATCATTATTATGTATAACATAGTTTTGTTGTAGAAAGAAAAATGTGTTAATATCAAATGTTATTACTCGCAAATGTCATTTACATTAACTACATTACGAAAAGATGGGTGTTTTTAATCATGGAGGCCTGTAGCATTGTGTATTCAGGGATATTTAAACTGACTTCCAGTAACGGAGGTTTACATGTTGAACGCCATCTTTAGAATTAATTTATCTATTCAGAAACACGGATGAAATACATTTTGTAAATTTCCAGGATGTTATTTGACTAGATAAACGAGGTTTCTTTTGTAAATTGTTTCCAGTGAAAATATTAAGATCTGCCAGTGAAACGTATTTTAATGGAGCAAACGCTGGTTCACTGAATAACTTCAGTATTATTGTGATTCATCTATTTTACATTCGGTTAGCCATCGTAAATATAATCACCTAATTTTATAAAGTCTAAGAACTGTACATTATCTAGACAAATATTGGAAATTATTATTTTCTTTAAAAACGTCGAAGTGTCATATCTATCTCTTACAAACAGATAAGTGATTTAATTTAACTGGTGTCAATAGCATGAATAACAAACATTGTGAGATGAAGTGAATTCACTTAATTTTGTGTGTTCTGGATCCTCGACATAAACAGAGGGAAAGTGATTCACCAACTTAACCTAACCAATGTGTCCAAAAAAGGTGTTTTGTTTAACTGAGCAATAACTTAATGATGTAACTTTTATAATTTTGCATCTTTTTGGGCAGATATTTCTATCTAAAACCTTCACAAACATTCTTCTACCTATCACTTTAGATTTGAGTATTTAAATGTCTTCGTCATTCATCATAGTTACGTTTTCATGCCTGTATTATAGTTTTTATAACAGGTAGCTTAGCTATTTTTGTTAATACTCAGAAATCTATTAAGTTAGTATCAATTAGTCTTTTAAATATCTGTCTTTTATAATTTTATTTATTATTGTCTCATTAAAAGTATTATCATCAAAAACATTTCACTACTATTTACACAACTTATCTATCATTTTCACTCTCCGACTAAAACTTTGGACAGGGTCCTTGTGGCTGATTGTGTCAGAACCTGTCTCTGACTTATTACATCCACACACTATGAACCAAACTTGGATTATTGTGAAAATCACATGTCAACACTATATATTTGACATCAAATCAGATTTATTACGTACAAAGTTTGTTTAGTTAGTGAGAGATTTTAAGGCACACATAATTAAATATATTCACTTGATTGAGTGATTACACTAGTTGGTTAATCGTCTTTTCAGGGAGTATTCATAATTGTACATTGCTAGTTAAATCGAAATATTTTGCAAGAAAATTTGTTATTCAAATGTAAGTGTCAGCTATGAGAATTTTTGAAGAAATTGTAAATTACGATCAGAGATTAATCCATACTACTAATAAATACAGGGTGGAAGGTTTTATGTTAACGATTCAAGTAGAACACAGTATCAATGAATCACTAGCCTGGTATCCAATGGTTTATATATTCAACTTCAGTTGATTTTGTTATACCCTGCGCAAAGTCCTGAGCGAACAGTATTAAAGTCTCCATAACTAGGAGGACAGATTTGTTCAATATGTGTCATAGGAAATAATGGTTCACTAGCTAACATCATTTTATGATGACACTTTCAAATTATGTGACTATCTTCACACAACCTTATCATTATATTAACTGTTGAGCAACTCACTTAAAAAAATACTTCATTCTGACATATAAATAAACCTTAGTCTAGTAAAATTCATATCAATTCAAGGGAATTTTAAATAAATAACTTGACTTAAAGCTATTTACAATTCCATAGATCACAGTCAATTAGAGTAAAATTAGAAAATTAAAAGCACACTTAACTTCTTATTATTTACTTAATCAGAATCATTGAAAACCAAGTGAGAGTTGTTCCCATTTATATTAACTAATTAATTCTGAGTGAACGCCTTGAAAAAAGAAAATCATATCTTCCAGTCGAGTGAAAAAACGGTTAGCCATATACACAAAGATTTTAAAAAAACCATCTATGAATTACTTGAACCAACATTTACAACCAAGGTCATCTCATAATTCTTAATCAACTCAGATAAAACTTAATTAATTTGCTATTTTTTATAAATAAGAAAACACTTAATTAGCAATACATTATTTGTTTCCATCTAATTACTTTATCAACATAGTGATTTTCTGGTAATTTATTTTCTTTCATAGCCAATTCATGACGACGATTTTCAGTTCGTTGAAGAACTCTTTCACCAATCTGTAAACAGTTATGATATCTTGATAATAGTTTACTTAAACTATCCGATTTTTTCAACTGATGATTTCTATGTTGTTGTTGAAATAGTGAAGTTGACAATAAGAAAGGAGAATGAAAGGGATACACTGGAATTTGATATGACTTCTGTTGATTTCTTGAAAGATTCTGTTGATAGACTGAATAATAGAACGGTGAAAATGATGTGACTGAATTCACATGAAGTAACGTATTATTCATATCGTTATTAATGTCGTCCGGTTTTAATACTTGAGGTTTTATTAATTTTTTTGAATTGAATGTGTTCTCATGTAATTTTATACTGGATTTATTACTTAATGATAATTCTTCATAGAATTTTTCTGGATGAAAGAAATTATTCTCCTCTACATTTGAAGGAGGGGAATAATTTACTTTAAAACTGAAAAGAAAAGATACATAAAAGAAATATTTTAAGAAAGAAAATAAGATCAAGTTAAAACTACACTCCCATCAGATTCAGATGTCACATTCGCTTAATAAATTGATTTATTCAGATTTATTCGATATCAAACATATTAATTCTTATTTTTTGAAATTGATCATCTGCAAAATTCAATGAAGTGATGCTATAATTTCAACTTGAAAAATGGTATAATTTCTAGAAACAACTATGGAACTAATCCTGTCTCATTTTAATGTATCAATTTGATTCCGATAATGCAATGGGAAGACTAAGGTTATCAGGATTATGTGATATATTTGCGAAATACATTTCAAACAATCTGATCCTATATATACTTGTTAAGACATTTTATATCAAAAATAAAAGGTCAACTAGACAAATTAAAAAGTAAATAGAAACAAAGATAATAATAACGTACATAAAACAATGTGAAAAGCATGATCGATAATAAATCAATGTTACCAGGATAGGTTGGGGATGAGAATAAATCGTTTTTGAACATCTAAACGTTTCACTTTCCGTACAGCCAAGGCTTCAATAAACCTTAGTATACGCCCTTGAAGGCTTTTGTACAAAAGTGAAAAGGCTGACCTGATATCGACGTTATGACCGGTCTCAATCAACTGTTTCGCAATGGAGGAAAATGTTTGTCTATCCTGTGGCCTTATTTAACCATTATATGTCCAGCCACACTTACTTTCAGATCACGATTGTTCCTTCCTATGTACGTGTTTCCGCACATACATGTTAATTGATAGACACAATTGGGATGTGACACAGTCACTTACGTGCTATCTTCCCATTGCATTATCGACATTTATCAAGGAGACCAGTTACTAATTTGATTTCTTTTCAGAATTGTAAAAATTGAACTTTTCAAATCGCACATTTTAACTATTTAGTGGCTTTATAAGATCAATTTTAAGTCATACAGAAATTTATTAGTAGCATAAAAGTCATTACTAAAGACTGAAATTTCGGCTTTCCATGATCATTAACTCACATTTGAGAACTAAATAATAAATTATAGTATACAAATGATGTACTACAAAGTAAGAAATTTACAAAATCTCATAGCATACTTTGAGTAATTGTGATTTGGCTTTACATAATCAGGATGTTGTTGAGGGGAATTGATTTGTTTTAGCAGTCTTGAATGAGTTTCTATAGTTGATATTTTATTTGATTTATCTTTAATAAAATTAATAGAATTATTTGTGGATGAAATAGATTGTTCTCCATGAATTTGCTCTTCATCGATTTTGGGTAAAATGTTATTATTAATTGTTAACTCATCAAATCCACTATCTTTTTTCTCATTTTCTATAAATGATTCATTCGACGAATATTTCATATTGGAAATGATATTGTTTGTTTTCAGTGATAATTTTTGCTTTGATTTTGGAATCTCAAATAATAAATGCTTGTTTGCATCAAACTGTTGACTGGATTTTGTTCCCAAACCTCGACTTCGTAAACGACGCTCCCATTGATAAACTACACTGGATGGATCAGGATGATCTGGCCAAAATTCCGATAAAATAGCCTATCAAAATATAAAAATACTTCTAGTAAGGTGTGAATTTTTCGCACTTCTACAATAATTACGCTTTCTGTAAATCCGACATTTCTGTTTTACAGTTTATAAATAAAAGACAAAAACGTTTACAAACAACTAGCAAGTTTCAGAAAACGATGAACTGACCGTAAAAATAGTTTCTTTTTACTAACGTATCATAGCAGCTTTCAATTACTATCCATAATTCATAATTATTAACAGAATAGATATCAAGCACATGTAGGGAGAATAGAGAATTGAAATACGGCAACAAAAGAGTGAAAATTTTACTGTTATTTTACAGAGGATACGTTCATATTGCTCATAAATAACAGCCATTAAAATAAAAAAAATTGAATTTTACTAGCCTACGTTATAAACTAAGTGACAGTATCGTATTTTCAGATTTAAAAATGGTGAGTAGATCAAGTATAATGTGAAAACAAGGTTTGTGCAATGAAACATCAATTGAACAAGATTTACTTTTAAACGTTCGTGCAGATCAAATACCAGACCATTTTAGAAAAGCTTTGTTCATTTGATCTATTGATATCGATGAAGACAGAGCAAGCCTGCTTATCAAAGTCGGATAACTAAAACGATTGATAACTAAGCGAGAACCAGGCATGAGCAAATCTTCAAGTAACAACAGTCTCTGCCATACCACTTTTTTTTTAAATTGGAATACTGAGGTCATGTCGTTTGCGGGATTTAAACTGAACGGGCGAGAAGTCCTCTTTTTACTAAAACTACATGACTATCATCAACATTTTTTGGTTGCCAACGTTCAGAGAAACAATCAAGCTATATGGCTTCTATCCTATATAACTCCCAGTCTTCGTGCTGCCGATGGAGAGTTAAAACGAATGCTAAATTAGGCAAAACTGTTGCTAGATTTTTAAACGAATCGCCATCTAAATGATGTGTAAAAGGTAAGTTGAATAATCCCAACTCAATATTTAGAAAGAAGTGTTCTCTGTCTTCCTTTTGTTCTTAGTAGAGTCAGGAATAAAGCTTCTGAAGTGTTTCAAAGCAATGAGGATTCGTTGCCAATCACTATTTTATTCTCTATAATTACCTAGCTGGAATCGATTTTTGACCTTAATTATCTTTTAAATATCTTTCATTCCATATATTTATTAACAGCCTGCTTAAACTTACTCAAACAGACCCTATGAAAATATAGATTAGCTTATTTTTTCAACTCTAAATTATTTCTTAGATTATTCATCAATATTTTCATAGATAATTCTGCTTAAAATGTATGTTAAGTTACCAATCATCATTATATTAGTTATTATATCATTGTTGACTGTACAGTCATGACTAAACCTTGACTGAAAAAGAATTTATCTTTAATGAGGAAGAATGTATTTGTAAAATCTCAGCGAATGAATTCGTAGTAAATCCAACGTTTCGCCTGGCAATCTGGTTTAAGCTTTTTCAAGAAACAGATTGCCAGGCGAAACGTTGGATTTACTACGAATTCATTCGCTGAGATTTTACAAATACATTCTTCCTCAATAATGTCTCACATTAACTCAGCGCTAAAATATTGTGAAACCATTCGTTCAAATTTAGACGTAAGTTTTTGTAGAATTTGTCTTTAATTATTTTTAATTCCAAATATGAATGTTAACATCACAAACATGTGCGCATCATTACCAACGTTCGAACTGATAATTTAAAATAAATTAAACATGGGGTAGATTGTTAATAATAAATATCAGTAAATTTGTAACTAAATTTTTCTACTGATTGTTATATTATAAACATATTACTTTTGTTATTGATCAACATGTATTAAACAAAATGATTAGTTCAATTTAAACACTTAACTAGTAACACAAATTTGAAATAAGTAATGTTGGGTTTAACTGTCTTCATTATCAGAGTCTTGTATCAATAAATCTATTCAATGAAAACACACAATCAACCTGCTGATTTTAGTATCATTTAAAATCCTTTCAAAACTCTCTAATAAATCAAAGTTAGTGAGCATTAACATTATCATCATTTCGTGAACACGAGAGTAAAATAAACGAAATATTATTTTTTGTAAATGAAATTTTAAGTAAGTAGTAAACAGTGATATATTCATCTAGTCCTCGTGTAAGTCTAGTTGTTATTTATCCTTCTATCAGGAAATTTTACTGAGTTATAACTATGAAAAAACGTTTTTTATCAATACGCAGGTCTCTAATGTTCTACATTGTTTATGACTGGTTGCATATGCAAACAAACAATCAGTACCTGAGTTTATGGTAGTTGATATATTCATTCTACCTTTAATGTTAACAGTGAGTACGATTTTATTATTTAAAAATATTGTATAAAATTTCACAATCAAAAAATTACTTTTCATCTACACCAAGTTGACATGTCAAGCAGAATTACTTTATCTTCATCTAGGAAATCTTTACTTCGTTAGATAGTTCACTGAATTGATATATCGTCTAGTTGTACAAATAACCTACTTATATGTTAATTTCAGGTTTTAATAATGAAATCTGTTAAGTACATTTTGTAAAGAAAACTTATCACGGGTAGTTTTTCTGATCTTTATGCATAGATTCCTATAATTTAATTACGTATTTCAATAAAGAATGTCTTACTCTTATATCTAATCTATCTTTCAGTGGCTGTGTTGTCTCACTTTATTTTTATAAAATCACATGTACATATACATTCAAGTCATATGAGATAATTGATTTAATAATGATCTTGCCATATACGTTTACATGTTATTTCATATGGTTCATACTAAACCTTGAAATCAGATAACAGACCAATAATAACAGAGTAACTAGCTATTTTAATTCATTTAAAACGTCTTGCCAGTTACCATAATCGACCTTCAGAGATTCATATTCATAAACAAATGTATTTTGGAGTAAAATATCAGTGCTTGATATTGCGTAACATTTGAAAACGTACAGAAGGTAAGGTTACAGTCGCTTCACATATCAAAATCTCCAATCTGTTTTTCAAAATTATCACCTTATGTTCCAATTTGTCGAGATCAAACAGATTGGGGATTCACAATGATTAGAAGATTAAAGATAAGATAAAAATAAATCTTTAAATAAATAGGTTTTCGATTTTTATTAAATAATCCCTTTTACTGACTCAGTTGCTTTAAGCCTGTGTTAGATCAGTATAATGAATAATTTTATTGATATCTAAAATACTTTTAGAATTTGTTTTATAGCTTCTTTATCTTAGAATTGAACACACATATTGTTTAATAGTGTGTTTAAGTTTATGAACGTTAATTATGACCTATCTATTATTTTATTCACTATCTATAAATGTGCATTATTACTGAAAAATCCGGAAAAGTTCACATACACTTTTTCGTTTTACATTTTATAGAAATATTTTAAAAATAAGTATCATTTAAGAAGGTATTCGGTAGCCTGAGAATTTAAAACCTATAAGCACTTATAAAATGTGTTTATACCTAATTATAATACACACTGGGTTTAGATTTTAAAATGTGAAATATTTAATTATAAAACAGACCTCTTGATTTCTTTTGTTCTTGTTAGTTCCAGGTAAAAGCGGGTAATGAAGAAAGATAAAATGTAAACCCCGTACCTTAAAACAAGAACTTGATACCTGTCACTTTTGAAAGCTATTGCTCACTTTTTATAATAATCAAACTCATACATATAATTCCTGTTGGTGAAGTGTTTACTAAAACGTCACTTTCTGTACTGATATCTTAGGTCTAATATAAACTAGTCAAATGAAAAAAGTGAGTAGTCATTAAGTTTTATTTACTTTTTCGATAGATATAAAGCAATGCATGATTGAAGTTGATCAAAATTTTCTATAGATAAACATTCAAAGAAGTCAACATTTTTTACCCTTATGTATCGTGAGACTGTTTCTATCATGACTGTTTGATTGTTGCCACTATGTAATTTATGAATACATTATTTCGTAGTGTAAATGTAAGTAAAATCATAATTTCATTTTACGATTAATTCAGTTATTCTTTTTTAACATAAAAGTCATTCTTAACCTATAACCATGAGTTAATCATTAGCTCATTGTGTAATTTACCTATGGATAAATATTTAATTCGTTAATATTAATCATTTACAATATGTTTTACCAATAAATTGTTGAAACAATCCAGTCGATACTGGTTTCTAATAAAACTAACATTTTAATATATGGAATTAGTTACTGTCATGTTAGATATCACCAGAGTAGTAACTATTAAGTTTTTTTCATACATACTGATCATCTTGATTGTAATTGATAGTTCTATCAGGACTGTATCAGGACTCAATAGTGTCTGGATCTAAAGTTGTTACATCACGTACTTATACCTGACATTATCCTAAAATAAGAGTTTGTTTACTTTTCAATTTTATACTGAAAACATTGAGTGAAATCAGTGACAACAACACTTCTTTCTGAATAAAATTCTATGGTCTAGATAAAGTAACATTGTGAGACTATAATTTATGGACAACCTTTGAACGAGTCCTAAGTGACCTTGAGAAATATTAGCCAATCAGAAAACGGCTAGTATACGGCAAAAATATATTATATAAAACCAAAGAATTAAAGTGGACACATTTCATTTACATGATTCAAAAACTTGTAAAGGTTAGGAAGAGGTTCAGAGGTTTTAAAATCGTAATTCATGCAGTAGAGGAAATCATCCATACGGCTACAGAATAGTCTGCCTCTGGAGCCATGATAAAGTCTCAAAAACTCTTTCAGCCTCGACCATATAGCTTCAATATTGTTTGTATGCATTCCGGTTGTTGGGTCCACAAAATGTCACTTATGGATAACGACAAAGTGCACATAACCAAGTAAATATAGGCGTCTGTAGATTCTCTAATCATCTGTATATATTGTAGCACCCGGCTGTCGCCAGTGATACTGGTGCTTTTTTGATTCAGTCATAGTTTGTCATAGTCTCAATCTGGATCGGGCGAAAAAATCCTATTCTAGCAGACTTCTTCCTCCAACACATATTATATTGAAAGACAAAATTATTACAGTAGTCTGCATAAGATACACAAGTCGCTTGATTACCACACTCACAAATAAAGGAACTTTTTAGTAGTCCCCTTTGTTGTAGCCACTCAATTATAACATTTTCTATAAAATCCTCTGTGAACCAATCGTACGTGAGCATCAGGTACTGAAATTAAAGCCGTGATCTTGGAATCCCCCAAAACGCTTCTGATTGGCTCGTCCATAAATTATAGTCTCGCCTTTTTACCTATTAGATTATAATGACTAGTGACTAGGATACCGTTTGCTCTGAAAAAGTATTTTCAAAAAATCAATTTAATTGAAACAAGTTTTTCTAAGTGAACTTAACCGTACTGATGTTTATTCTTATGTTGAAATTAGATGTAAAGAAAGCGAAAAAATAATAACTGGCAATTCATGTACTCAATTATAGTGATATTTAGCATGACAAATTTTAATACAGAACATTAGTTAAAGGATATCTGTTAAAATCCCCTATCATTAATCAATATTTGAATATAATATTTAACGAAGACATTTCTTATTAACAGATGTATTAGCAAGCCATCTATTGAACTTTGTTAAGGAGCGTGGACGACAAATAATCATGATAACGTCCCAATCCAAAAGATTATAATACGAAGTTATATCGTGTAGGCAGGAAACAATATAAGATTCTATTACCTCCCCAGAGTGGGTATAATTAAAAAGAATGTAAAACCGCTTTATTAAGCACATATTATTGTTAAATAAATGAGCAAAGCTATAAAATATCTTTTCTATACTTTTCATACTATCTTGAAAAATGAAACAAGCGATTTAATATTAATTGAAATTTAATATCTAAATATGTATTATTCATTCTAAAAATTTAATAAAATTATGAAAACAGTCCAGTTTCTTATAGGAAGAACAATGCATTGATCAACAAACTGTACTATTAAAGTGTAAGTATAAATAAACATAATTTATATGTTATTGATTTCTGATACCTAAAATAATTCACAAATTTTAACAACAATATACATAGTAGATTACTTTGGACATAATTTTACCAATCAAAACTCACTGCATAGTAATTGTCATCACTGAATAACATTAGCTGTGGAACTACTCAAAACAAATAAATATTTAAAAAATGTTTTGCCCTACTTTTTAACTCCATTCAGGGTAAGTACATTTAGTCTACACTAATAAGAAAACCTTCATTAGTACGTAAGTCATGCTTGTAAAGATATGTGAGTTACTGGTTTATTACTGCATATAATTATAGATTGGCACAATGCTCTCTGGCTTACTATAAAGCATAATTTCGTCTCATTGAATAATGAAAGTAACATTTAAGTTACGTTTCCATTTAATACTTTCCCGTTTCATCCTAGTTATCAATAAACAAATAAAACACTAACACGTTACTCAACAGTCCTTCTTCTAAATGTTTCTTTTATATCAGCATGAGCGTTAAAATTAGTTTGGAATAAGTTTCAGAAAAAAAACGAGAAGTAAATGTATAATTTTATAGAGCATTTAGACCTAGATACATTTTTTTTTGAAAAAATCTTTAAATCTGCAGAACAAAGCACTGATCACATTATTTCGTGAACATATGTAAGAACAATGTTTCTTTTAAATTCTATCTTAATTAATGAGTTGTTTTTTCTTGAAAATTTCCAACACAACATATACAGAAATCCCTTGATCATAATGATATATCGACATAGACGTTTAAGTATAAAATGTATCGTTCAACAGAAAATACACAATACATTCTCTTTATAATTATTTGTTAACCATGAATAAGTAAATTACAATGAGGCAATAATTCGTTTGAAATTCATTATATACATTTACATCAATTGATTTATTCATAAGTTATGCCATAAAATACTACTAATCTATTCTTGTATTTTTTTTCACAAAAATCCATTCATATATTAGTTATTTCTAATTGTTATCGTTAACTTGCTTTAAACAATTCCTTTTTTTAAACAGGAAAACTATTCTTCTTTTCAAACGTTCTTTTAATGCAACATCAATATATGATCATAGGTTGTATCTTGTTAAGGAATAGAATAATAATTATTATTATTATTAACAATAATAGTAATATGTAGAATAAAGGGAATATAAATTCTCTGTAGAATGTAAAAAAAAAGTAATTTCAGTGATAATAATGCAAAAGTTAGCATTTACTGAAGTTTTTTAATTTTATTTAAAGTTTGAAATTTATTTGTTCACATAAACTCAAAGAAAATAATAAAAATGGTTGGTTTTATGCTTAATAGGTTGGTTGGTTGGTTAGTTGATTGTCAAAAATGTCATAACTATCATGATCACTATTAATGCTTGTTTGTTTTTCTTTAAATAATATTAATTATATTAGATAAAGTTATGGAAGACTAAACAAAGGGAGAGGGAAAGATGGGAAAAAAAACAAAAGAGAGTGTGCGTAAAAACTCAAATGTGAAATGTAAAATAAAAACAGAAACATTTTATCAGATTGTAAAATTGTCCTAGAAATAGAATATAGCGATAGAAATAAATGTTATTATTGTTATTACAAGTGTTTTAATCAATCTCTATTGTTTACGAGTGAAATTTCTAAAAGAGGAAAGCAATACTATTTTAGTAAATATTTATTACTAACCTTTTAGGTATAGCTTTTATTTTGAGGATCATAATAATTATTATTGTTAGCAATGAAATGCCTAATATATTTTATTCTGTCTCCATGTAAAATAGCCGTTAGAATTATTTGCCCACCTTTTTATCACTTCTCCAAAAATAGTATATTTGATTCATATAGAATCCTCAAATAATCACACATAAGAGACCCATGTAACGTTATAACATTTGAAGTATTTATATAACGAATAAAAAAAGATTAATAATGAAAATACCTACAAACGCATTTATTAGTACTGTTACAGCTGAAGAGAAAGATGAAAGTTCAAAATTCACCCAAAATGTCTTTATTTAGAAATGTGATGAATATCCGAAACAAATTTGAATGTAAAAGATAGTGTGAAGTGTACAATCAGTTATGAGGTGAATTGTTAAGTGGATAAGTCTTTTTGTCTATGAATCAATATGTTCATCTTTTTAAGTACTTAAATATATATGTATTATGTATTCTGTACAAACACATGTATCTACGAAACCTTTTTCTAAAAAATGTTACGATCAGTGTGTTGGTTTTATTTAAAATAAAACAAAACATTGATGTCAATAATTCAAAGTACTTAAAGTAATATCAAGTTATTTATAGTATCATTTACCACTAGCTTTCTTGAACTCGGTGAACCTTGACAAAGAGCGAATGTGCAAAACAATCAGCTCACAAAGGTTAGCGTTGTTCTGATGTTCTATGTAGCTCATTAGATCAAACTACCTACTGGCTTTGTTGACAACAATACTGTTTATGACGTTATACAGTCATAACTAACGTCATAGATAAGCATCACGCTACATCGGAATTTCAATAAATCTTAAAATGTTAAACGTTTGATTTCATTCAAGTTGTTTAAATATTATGAGCTTGTTGTGAAACATAAAGTTTCTAGGTTCAGCCCCAGAAGTACTGACTCCAAGTGAAGACCCACTGAATCATTTTAAAATAATATCGATACTTATGGTTATTAATACAAAACAAATGTCCTTTCTGTTGTGCGGAATAATAATTTTTCATGAATTTATGTGTATTATAGGTTTACTGACTTTGTATGTGGGACACGGTTAATGAAATTTAGTACGACTGTTAATTTGGTCATTTAAGTGTATCTTTTTGTATACAAATAATGTTATTCACTGAAATGTTGAAATTAATAAGAAAACACAGTAAAGGATGAATCATCAACATTTCCCCAAAGTCCTCACAGATAAACAGTAAAGAAAAATATTTAATTTGTTATACTTATGATGTGATAGTTATTTAATATCAAATTTAATAATAAAAACTCATATTAAATAAGCTTGATAGTTGTCAAAGATAAACACAACACAATGATTTGTTATCAACTATTGACAAATGTTATGTTTGTCTAATGGTTAGTGGCAACATCTAAGGCGGCTGATGTGAGTTTGGATCTCGTAAAAAGTATCAGTTGTATTGGGATTCGACGTACGCTTTCATAGTGAATCCCAACCAGTATGAAACCTAAGTTTAGTGTTTCCTGTAGAATACTTCCAACTATCAAAGAAGTAAACTGTTTGTATTTGTTTCATAAAACGAAAATCTGCATGTCTTGCCATAAACTTCAATCTTTACAGTTTTGTTGCCACTAATTTAAGATGAAATCACTGTTAGTGTAACTAAAATGTTCAAAAAGATTCTCTTATCTATGATCATAATTGATGTGATACTTTTTTATCACCTGTAAATATTACAGTGGACTATTGTTTCTCTATTTAAAATTATTTAAATTTACGTAACTAAATTGTGTATGTTATCGTTAGGAAATTTAAAACTTTCCCCATTAGATTTAACTAAACTGGAAGCTACTGACGAATTTATAAAATTAAAAAGAAAGTTCAATTATGCTTGTAATTTTCTTAGATGCAAATGTGATGTGCACTACTTATATACTTAAGTAGTATATAACGATAGTCTGTACGATAGAATGTAGTTCAGTAAAAGATCGAGAAGGAAAGAAGGGGAACAGAAAGCAATCGGTATGAAGATGTTGGAACAATGAAATCTGAGACGATGGACTGATACTTACAAAAGGAACGGTCAAGTTAGAGACAACTGATTGATACTTTGCAAATCAAATATTCACCGTATGGTTGTCAGATCTTAGTGAGATATTCTGTAATTTTGTGTTCAAATACATTCGATTGTCTCCACTCGTGTTCTTTTTCACTACACAATTAATAATAATAATTACTATTATTATTTTTGGACAAGTTTAATAATGCCAAAAATTTGTTTATTTTTTTGTTTCTCTCTGATTCTACATATTAGTGATATTTGATATTTCCTTTTACGTTCCAGTTTATTTTTCCGTTAAAAATATGAGTTAATTAGTGGATCAAAGCGTTAGATAAGGAATACATAAAAGTATATTTCCATGATTTCTTATTATTCATTAAAGAAATTCCAACTTCTTTAAGTTTATCGGTATTTATTTTAAATTCCCCACCTTCATAAACACTTTTTATCCAAATAACCTACCTTTTTAATATTGTCTCGAAATTATTTCAAGAAAGTTGACTTTCCAGCACATTAAATAATAGTTATTACGACACAATGTATTTTATAAAATTGTATATAAAGTTATATAGTTAAAAAAAATAATAATGTGTATGTGGGTTTCGAGATCGTCTTTGTAGTAGACTGTCTTGAGCTCAACCTGAAGGTCCTTGGTTTGGTCTCTGGTAGGATCATGGATGTCTCAAAATACGAAGAATCATCTATTTAGTTTTACATTTTATTTAGTGGTTCTTTAGTTGAAGTCACTTTGTGATTAACATTGTTTTAAATGTGAACTACTTTCTACAATCACTCAACCAATATGCATTTGTGTACAAGTTATCTTTTCTAAAAGACGGTGTCCTGTGGTATTAAAATTGTTCCTTTTTTACATGAACCTTAAACACTAATTCTAGTGATTTTCACCCCATTGGTTGAAATAATTACCAAACATCTATTTCTTATTAAATGATTGAAATCTACTGGTAGGTTGTCGTAAACCTATGTTTCTCCAGTTTTGAAAGAACTGATAGTTACCGTAAAATTTAAACTCGCGCTACTTCTGTAATCCAAATATTTTGCCAAATTTATACACCGTCCAAAAATAATGTTCTCACTTTAATTGTTAACTAAATGTCTCTGGCCGCATTTGTACTTCAATTCTTAAGCACCTGGCCGTTAGAAGATATACGTATTATTATTTTGAATCTCAAGATAATTTATTAATAACTTGTATAAAAAATTTAAACAATGATATCTACATCATTTAGAGCCAATCGTCTGAAAGAATCTGCACCTTATCGATTTGCAACTTGTTCACCTGCACACTGTTTTGCAAAAATAATTCAAACCATCACATTTTGTTTGGTCGGGTTTTATTATATATGGCTACACTAGGGTTTGACGTTTAAAAAAAGTTAAAATGAATTTAGATGCCAACATTTAACATACTCTTATATCTTCTGGTTTTAGTTCCGCAGCATTATTCTTTACAGTATTACCATTTCTGTCCCAATTTGAAAGTAATCCATAATGAAATGATTGTTGACAATTATTGCAATTCACGGATTGGTGAGTATAATCATTAATATAATTATTAGTCCTAGTAGTAGTATTATCCACATTGTTACTTTTGTTCAATTCAGTATGAATATTTCCAAACATTTTATGGAATCCAGACGCAATGAAAACCTTGTCCTTACGAAATAATTCATTCACAGATCTTATTTCGCGACCAGTTAATGAATACAAATTTCTAATAGGATCATTATGCCAGCGTGAACCAAATGCTTCAGTT